TCATCATATAATTTCCTAGGTATTGAAACCTCCAATTCTAGCTTTTCTTCTAAAGCTTTCATCATCGCTTCTACGATGTGTTTAGTGAAAACCTTATTTTTTCATAAGTATTGGGTGAATTTAACATGGATTACAACAAGGAAATACACTCAATTAAAGAACAACTATCATAACTAAAATCCTTGAAATCCAAAAGAGTGGGCACATCGCTATTTAAAGTTTTTACCTTTCCAAACCCACTTTTATCAATTTTTCGTTAAGATTTTCACCCTCCGAATAATGGGGACCCCCTCTAGGTAAAGTTGAGTCTTATTTAGTCCCCTTTTATCAAGTTTAATATTACTAAACAAAGATTCAATGGGTGTAACACCAATCATTTTAATATCTTCATCATTACTACGATAAAAACCGGGCGGAATCGCTTTTTCTAAGAATTCTCGCTTGGCCCCCAACCTAGCGGTTCTTTCTTTACATTCATCCATGAAGACGTAAAGAGCTTTAATTTATTCATTAATATCAAGCTTGGGTGTCAAAAGTTTAGTTTTAAGATCTTCCACATCATGAATGATTATGTCCATGCTCTTGGACATATCATCAAGTTTACTCAATTTTTCTTCTATCGTAGTGTTGAATTTTTTTTGAGAATTAATAAATTATTTGATATTACTTTCAAGATCAGAGGGCATCCTACTATTATTATAAGGATTACCATAGGATTTTCCATAATTATTAGAGAAATTTCTAGAAAACGGCCTAGGATTAAAATTACCTCTATAAGCATTACTATTGAAATTGTTTCGCGAGACAAAATTCACATCTACGGGATCATTATTTTGCTCAATCAAAGTAGACAATGGAACATCACTGGGATCAATATGAGCGCTTTTACTAGCAACCATTTTCATAAGCGCATCTACTTTATCACTCAAAGTACTAATTTCTTCAAAAGAATTCACTTTTTTACTAGTAGGAGTTCTTTCAGTATGCCATTGTGAATAATTTTCCATAATATTATCAAGAAATTAGATAGCTTCTCCCAATGTAATTTCCATAAAAGTATCACCCACGGCAGAATCTCAAAGATTTCTAGAAACAGAGTTCAATCCCGCATAAAAAAAATTGTATGATCATCCAAAAACTTAAATCATGAGTAAGGCAATTTCTTAAAATTAATTTCGTCCTCTCCCAAGATTGGGCCACATGTTCAGCTCAAATTGTTTAAAATTCATAATTTGATTTCTGAGCGAGATAATTTTCATGGGAGGAAAATACTTGGCAATAAAAGCATCTTTACACCTATCCTAAGAATCAATATTATTTCATGGCAAGAATGAAAACCAAGTTTTAGCGCGATCTCACAATGAGAACGGCAATAATTTTAATTTGACAATATCATTATCCACATCTTTTTTTCTTGCATAACACGCAATTCAACGAAAGTGTTAAGATGCGATGCGACATCCTCATTAGGACTAGCAGAAAATTGTTCTTTCATAACAAGATTTAGCAAAGCGACATTTATATCACAAGACTCTGCACTAGCGGCAGAAGGAGCAATTGGGGTACTAACAAAATCATTATTATTAGTATTTAAAAAATCACACAATTTTGTATTTTCTTGAGACATTGCAACAAGGCAAACAAGATAACAAGCAAACAAAAAGGCAAACACGAAAAAGGCAAACAGAAAATATTTTTGTATTTTTGTAAAAACATTTTAGAAATGGGGGAGATGAAAATCAGAGGCAAATGACAAATAATGTAAACGCAAGGAGATGAAAGTTTATGTGTAGGTACTTGATAGATGTTGATGATATCTCCCCGACAACGGCGCCAGAAATTCTTCCTGCTACTTGTGAGCTGCGTTGGGATTTCCCCGAAGAGGAGAGAATGATGCAGTACCGTAGAGATAAGTATTTCCCTTAGTTAAGAACCAAGATTACCAGTCAAGTAGGAGAACCAAGCAACACCTTATTAGCAGTACCTGCACACAAAATAACAAATACTTGCACCCAACATGAACAAGGGGTTGTCAATCTCAGTGGTTATTTGCAAAGATGAAATCTTATAATGGTAGATAGATAAATAAAACGCAAAATGAAATAAAGTAAAGAAAAATTTCAGCAAGGTATTTTTGTATTTTAATATATGATAAAAGTATACCGGAGGCCATAGTTTTCACTAGAGGCTTCTCTCTTGGAAATAGCATACGATGGGTAAACAAACTACTATTGGGCAATTGTTAGAAAAGCGAATAATCATGACGATATTCAAGGCACTAATCATGTATATAGGCATTACGTCTGAAACAAGTAGACGGACTCTTGCTTGCATCTACTACTATTAATCCACACATCGATCGCTATCCACCATGCATCTATAATATTAAGTTCATAAAGAATGGAGTAACGCCTTAAGCAAGATGACATGATGTAGACAAAGTAAACTCACGCATAAATAAACCCCATCTTTTTATCCTTAATGGCAACAACACAAATATGTGTCTTGTCCCTTTCTGTCATCGGGATATAGATCACTGCAAGATTGAACCCATCATAAAGCACCTCTCCCATTGCAAGAAAAATCAATCTAGTTGGCCAAACCAAATCAATAGATCGAAGAGAAATACAAAGCTACAATAATCATGCATAAAAGAGTTAAGAGAAGACTCCACTGATATGTCTCCAACGTATCTATAATTTATGAAGTATTCATGCCATGTTTACAACAATTTTATATGGTTTTGGTATGATTTGATTAGAACTAAATCGGACTGACGTTGTTTTCAGTAGAAGTACTGTGTGTCATTTTTTGTGCAGAAATAAAAGTTCTCGGAATGGACTGCAAATTTATGGTGATTTTTTATGGACCAAAAGAGACCCCTGAAGCAGCGAAGCTAGGCCAGGAAGTGACTGAGGAGGCCACAAGCCTAGGGGCGCGCCCACCCCCTAGGGCATGCCCCCCGGCTTCTAGGCCCCTCGGGCACCCCCTTGACATGATACCAGACACCAAAAAAATTCTATAAATACCAAAACTCCCGAAAAGAACTCTAGATGAGAAGTTTCGCCGTCGCAAGCCTTCGAAGCCACAAAGAAACAATCGGGACCCCGTTCCAGCACCTTGCCGGAGGGGAAAATCATCACCGGAGGCCATCTTCATCATCCCGGCGGTCTCCATGATGAGGAGGGAGTAGTTCACCCTCGGGGCTGAGGGTATGTACTCATGTCGCTTGAACTATGTCGGTATTTCCTCAAAGAGGAAGGGATGATGCAGCACAACTGTGATAGGTATTTCCCTCAGTTATGAAACCAAGGTATCAATCTAGTAGGAGAACCCAGCAACACTATGTAAACGGTACCTGCACACAAAGAACAAATACTTGCAACCCGACGCTTATGAGGGGTTGTCAATCCCTCTTCCGGGTAACGACGTAGGAAATTGGCAAGTTGACGGGATAAAATTGTGATAGATTGGATAAATAGATCTCGAGTAAATGCGAAATAAAAGATGCAAAGAAAACATTTTGCGGGGAAATAATAGTAGTGATTTAATAGTAGAGATCTTTTTTAGGTTAGTGGTTATTAATTATTAATTAATTGTATATATCTTTTAAAATTAGTAATTAGTTAATTAATAATACTAATTAATACTGCCTCCGTTTTCTAAATATTTGTCTTTCTAGACATTTCAAATGATTACAACATATGGATGTATGTAGACATATTTTTAATGTAGATTCATTCATTTTGTTTCATATGTAGTCACTTGTTGAAATGTCTAGAAAGACAAATGTTTAGGAACGGAGGGGTAGTAGTGATTTAATAGTAGAGATATCCTTGTTGGGCCCCGCATCAGGCATCAGTCATCACCAGCATCGGTTGGTTCCGCTCGGGGCTCACAATCTTCCGGACCCCGGACACAGAGAAGGAAACACACAAACATAGCGAAGGAAGATATATCTAGCCAGTCCTCCGTCCGTAGTAGTACCAGCACTGTGCCACGATACACAATGATTTGATAGATGTTGGGGGCTACGCAAAAAGAGAAAACATATTCAGAAAATCTTAAATGTAAGATTTGATTTAGTACTACGAAATCTCAATCCCCTCCCCAATTGCTTATATTCAGAAAATCTTAATGTAAGATTTGATTTAGTACTACGAAATCTCAATCCTCCCAATTGCTTATATTCGGAAAATCTCTCCCCTCGCCCCCGCCCGTACCTTTTGCGCTCGGCGGCTGCCAATTCTTTCCATTCCTCCCCACTCGCCGCCTACATATAGGTGCTCCTCCCCTCGGAACCCCTCGTCCTCTCGTAGTCGCGTATCTCCACCTCCACTCCACCGCACCGCACCGCACCATCAGAAGTAAGCGGCCGGCCGGGCGGTGCAAGGATAGTCGCAGACACGCGCGCACACAGACACGGTGTGACAGCAATTGCCTCCGGCGATGTCCGTTTCCTGGCCGGCGCCGTCGACGTGCGCGGCCGCCGGGGCCCTGCTGGCCGCCGCGTGGCTGCTGTGCTTCAGGCTGCTCCCGGCCGTGGCGAGGCCGAGGAGGCGGGCGATGAAGACGGGGGCGCAGCTCCCTCCCGGCAGCTTCGGGTGGCCGGTCGTCGGCGAGACGCTGGACTTCGTCTCCTGCTCCTACTCCCCGCGCCCCGAGGCGTTCGTCGACAAGCGCCGCCTCCGGTGAGTGAAATTAAGCCGTCTCTTTTCCCTGGCGCAGCACAGTGGCGGCACGCGTGCGCGTGGCACCATCCGTCCACCCATCGATGCCATGGCATGGCATGGCATGGCAGCGCGCGCGCATGCACGTGCGTGGTACTGTACTGACGCGGACCGTGGGCGCGTGCATGCAGGTACGGCAGCGCGGTGTTCCGGTCGCACCTGTTCGGGTCGGCGACGGTGGTGACGGCGGACGCGGAGGTGAACCGGTTCGTGCTGCAGAGCGACGCGCGGTCGTTCGTGCCGTGGTACCCGCGGTCGCTGACGGAGCTCATGGGCAAGTCCTCCATCCTCGTCATCAACGGCGGCCTGCAGCGGCGCGTCCACGGCCTCGTCGGCGCCTTCTTCAAGTCGCCGCAGCTCAAGGCGCAGGTCACCGCCGACATGCAGCGCCTCCTCGCCCCGGCGCTCGCCTCCTGGCGCCACCAGGGCCCCGGCGCCCGCCTCCGCATCCAGGACCACGCCAAGACGGTACGTCCCTCTGCCTACACACCATCTCCCTCCATCCATCCATTTTCTCATCTCATCGTACCACCGCCTCCCGATCGGTCGATTGATAGCTCGATTTGTAGCACGACGGCGAGGGCGAGCGAGTCTAGGCTCTAGGTAGGACGACGTGTGCGTACGTGCGTCAGAGAGGAAGGAAAGAAAGAATCGGGATGGATTGGATTGGATTACTACAAGTAGCGGTCGTATGGCGCGCGCACCGGCGTGCACACGTGCGGGCGCCGTGTCACCACATGGAAGGGGAAGCCCGGCCCGAAAGGGCGTGGGGTCTCTCTCTTTCCTCTCCTCGCCATGCCTGTGCCGTGCCCGTGCGTGTGCTAGAGATAGAGAGAGAGAGAGAGGAGGGGAGGGGAGGGGAGGGGGGGTTGGGAGACTGTGACTGTGCGGGTGCGGTATCTTAATGAGATTGTGGGGAGTCCGCTGCTGGTGCCTGCCCTGCCCTGTGTTTCTCCTCCCCATTCAATTCCGCCCCCACCCCCCCTCCCTACCCTCGTGTGGGGCCCACACGCAGGATTTGATTATTACTATTACCAGCGGGCAAAAGAAAACAGTAAAAGAAATCATCTCTCCTCGCAAGAGATGTACTAGGGATACGTACTGGTGTGAAGGAGTACTTGTTATACCGTGGGGTGATTTTTTTTAAAATAAAAAAACACACCTGTTATAGAGGTTCATGGTACTTTTTTTGTAAAAGAATATAAGATCGTTTAGATCACTATAGATAGGGAGTACAAAACATCCTAAAACCCTAACTTATCTATTAGCTGGAGTCGAGGCACCAGGATTTACCCTACCCACCCGCCACCAGCCACCGGAACGGCAGACGTAAGGGAGGCGAATCCACAGACTCACCGGCGGAGATCAAGAGGAGTAAGACTTTCCCTAGTCACCCTGCGAGGGGGAAAAGAAACTTGCAACTTGCATGTGGTGAATTTGAGCTCCATGTCGAAATTTTGCGCCGAATTCACTGCATTTCAAGCAAAATCTTTTTTTAGATGATTTCAAGCAAAATCATGACGAGGAGGCACCTTGAAATTTTACATGAAAACGATTTAGGAGTACTACCGGAGGGACATGAATGAATGAATGATGAATGTGGTGTGTGCGTGTTGCAGATTGTGTTCCAGATCCTGGTGCGGGGTCTGATCGGGCTGGAGGCAGGCCCAGAGATGCAGCAGCTCAAGCAGCAATTCCAGGAATTTATTGTCGGACTCATGTCCCTTCCCATTAAGCTGCCAGGGACTAGGCTCTACAGATCCCTCCAGGTACGTACGTCCTACGCTCTTTTATTTCACTCCCTCACCATCCATCCTCATCCATGCATGCAACACCCACACGCTGCAACTGTCTCCCCCGCCCCATGCATCTCATCTGCCAATATGGCAGCGAAACCAAAGGCATCAATGTCACAAGGCCACCATCGTTGTTCCTTCTGCTCACCTCTCTCTCTCTCTGGTGCGCCCGTGCGTGCAGGCCAAGAAGAGGATGGCCAGGGTGATACAGAGGATCATACAGGAGAAGAGGAGGAGGAGGGCCCTCGACGGGCCGCCGAGGGACGCCATCGACGTGCTCATGGGCGCCGGCAGCGAGGAGCTCACCGACGAGCTCATATCCGACAACATGATCGACTTCATGATCCCCGCCGAGGACTCCGTGCCGGTGCTCATCACGCTCGCCGTCAAGTTCCTCAGCGAGTGCCCCCTCGCCCTGCAACAGCTCGAGGTACCTACCCTACTAAAACTCCATCTCACTTCCCATACTCCTACTTAGTTTCTATCAGCATTCTGGTCAGCCGGAGCCAGAGCCCGACTGATTAATCTGCACAAATTAAAAGCAACAGTTATAACATCTGAATGTGTATGAACATTGCAACCTGCCAATTCAAGCCAGACATGTTCAACTCATCTGTGTCTCGACCAAAACCTGTTTATAATTATGAGAGCCTGCATACCACAGAAGAATTTTTTAGATCGTTATCATGACATAAAGGATCGTGCCAACCTTGGTCCATGCCTTTCTTGTTGGCATCTAAGTGACGTGAGGATTAACTATTGTTGTTTACACTACCTATGTGCCTAAAAAAGTGCACTATCCATTAACAATGTGAGTGAGTGTGTGTGGGCTAGCATGCAACAAGACATGCACACACACTCACATTGTTAATGGATAATGTCAGCTACACACACATCCCATCGAAATTGGCCACCACCTTCAACTCAAGTGCTTAGCATCATGAGATGTGGCATCTAACTCGGTCGATTCATCAGTCACGTTGTTACTTACTCTATGCCGTCGCTTTGCTTTAGAGTTTGGACATGCCACCTAATCCTTGTCACATAGCTTTTGACACCTGATGGCATGATGGCAAGTGCTAATTTGTCCAGCTAGTGCAACCAAAATATCTACTCATGTGCCACTGTTAAGTAACTTCCACCCTATGAAAAACTATGTTGCACAGAACAACATTATTGGTAAATCAAACCAATCACTATTGTTGTTTCTGAAGTAGTACATGTATGTTTCTGAGATACAGTTTCATCAGTTGGTGAAATAGAAGGGCTGTGAACATTCCCTAGCTAGGATGTAGTACATCCTATTGCGCAAGCAGCAGAAGCAGCATCAGCATCATGCCATTCACTAGTTTCCATTTACAGCGCTACAGTGCGTAGAAATTACTCGTGTGTCGACTCTGTTTCTGTCTTTGATGCCATGTGAGCAATGAACTCATTCAAGCCTCCGCGGGCCAGGTACTGTTAGGGAACATGCCTAGCTAGGTAGCGGCAGCTATCTCGATTTTCCTGCGGTAGAAAAAGGAACTGAACTTTTGATTTCGGTAACCATTTTATGCGACAATGATTGGTGACACATTTTGGCGATTCCAGGAGGAGAACATGGAGCTCAAGATGAGGAAAACCGACCTGGGTGAAACCTTGCAATGGACTGACTACATGTCCTTGTCATTCACGCAGCATGTAAGAAATACTATCAAGATCAGCACCTTGATTTACGTAATATCTTGGTTTCTATCCTACCAACAACTGGATTTACATAACATTTTGGGGGTGCATGTGTAGGTGATAACGGAGACGCTGCGAGTTGGGAACATCATCAGCGGGATCATGCGCAAGGCGGTCCGCGACGTCGAGGTGAAGGGGCATCTCATCCCCAAAGGATGGCGCGTGTTCATGTACTTCCGGTCGGTCCACCTCGACGACATGCTCTACGAGGACCCCTGCAAGTTCAATCCATGGAGGTGGAAGGTGAGGACGAGCCCCACATTCGGTAGAGATGTTGATCCAATTGCTACTCCTTTAGGCAGCACCAACATGATAGAGGGGTTCGATGAGTGGGTCTTGTGGGACTCCTGGCATGTGGGTTTTTTCTCATGTCTATATATCAGAAAATGATGAAAAATGGTGGGGTATTACTATACTTGTGGAGCTTTATATGATTGCCATTTGATTTTTTGGGAAACCTAATAATGTGTTTATCGGTCTGAAAAAATACAATGTGTGTGGATCAACAGGAGAAGGACATGAGCACTAGCAGCTTCACCCCTTTTGGTGGTGGGTTGAGGCTGTGCCCGGGCCTGGATCTGGCCAGGCTGGAAGCTTCCATCTTTCTCCACCACTTGGTCACCAGCTTCAGGTATGTAACTATGCATGCATGGATCACTCTCGTCGCTCCCGTTCTCGTTCTCACCCGTGCATGCAAACATCACACCACCTAGCCTGCCTGCCAGCGACTCTCCGGTCCTTCATCGTTCGTTGCACGAATGATCTCGAGACTCACTCAGACAGACTTGCTTGTCTCTCATCTCCCCATCACATCACTTGAGCCTAGCACGTAGCTTTGCTTTCTTTGCCACTCTAATGCACATGTGTGAATATATGTAGGACACATGTATACAATGCCCTAGTAATAGAAGTAGTGGTACGAAGAGATATTTTACCTGCACAACTAGTGTCATGAATCTACAACCTCACCACCCTGGCCAAGCCATTCTTTTGCTCGAAACCGAATGTCGGGTAACACTACATCTGGCTGTGTGTGCATCTCAGTTATGCAGGGGCCGGGTGTAATGCGCCCATTTATCAAAAACACTACATTCCCCCTTTTCAAAGATTGAAATTACGCCGCGCATTCTTCGTTGAAAATACTGTGTGTAGTACTACGTGCATTGACGTGGGATGGATCGACCACCGGGGTCGCCAATAATTTGGGAAGGGAGGGAGGTTCGGATCTTCAATCTATGCCGGTACAGGCAGATGAATCCCTAGCTAGGGAGGACCAGGCCGAGAGAACGGACCCCTACACTACCCTACACCGACGGACCCTGCCTATATGGGTTGGGCTTTGCGTCGAGGGGGGGTCCGTTCCGTTGGCGCGTGGGGCCACACGTGCGACGCGGCCGGCCACCAACAAGTACTCGCCGCCGACTCCTACCACGCGTAGTGCAGTACGTACTCGCTATCACGCTATGCTTTATGGCTAGGCCCCCTCAAAGAAAAAATGCTATAGGGCTAGGCTAGGCTAGGCTAGGCGTGAGACCGAGCAGAACGGCACGCCGGCCGCACGTGTGTACACGAGCATATAGTAGTCGTCGTCGTCGTCGTCGTCGTCGTCGTCGTATGAGCAGTATGAGCAGCATCATTCGTTCATGGCCGGTGCGTGCTGGTAGCTGTGTACGCGTGCGTGCGGCGTCGGCACGACCCCCACCAGCACGTGCGAGGGGGGGCACCCACCCTTGTGCCTGCCGCTGCGGCGCCGGCATCCACACGTGCCACTCGTCGGCGGCCGCCGCCGCACAGTGCCCGCACGCACGCTTCGGCCGGTCGGCGTAGTAGGTAGTAGGCCGATAGTGGTGGTGCTCCAGTGGGGCGGCGGTATGATACAAAGTCGGTCCAAGCGCACCTGGTGTACGGGCACGCCATCGGTCTATGTCTATCGGCCTGTGGAGCACTCCTACGTACGTATACTGTAGTACGTAGTGGAAAAGTTGGGCGACATGCATGTAATGTGATGGTAAAAAAAATGGGCTCGACCGGCTGGATCAGACGGATGGCATGCTTCGTGTCTGCTCCGGTCCGGGTCGTGATTGAGCTCGGCTGCATGCCTGCATGAAACCCAATAAAATATGCGCGCGCATGCGCCTCGCGCTTTGACCGGCGCGCCAGGGCATGGCGCCGCTGCATGGCAGCATGGCTGTTTTTGTTTCTTTGCATTTGTAGCACCACGACCACAACAATAGCCCTTTCATTACGTTTTTCACCTTGCCCAGTACGTAGTGCCCATCAAGATTTGCACATATTTTTTACACCCCTATAACCTATTGCATGGTACTAGTATATGCGAGTGGGCACTGCACCGCACGCTAGTTATTATCAATAAAATGTTGAGATGCATGGATGCGCATCGAGATCGTGTGGCTGACGGCGAGATGAGATCCACCACATATATGTCCGTATGATGTATCGTTTGTTGCCTGACAATGACAATGACAATGACGTTGGATTGGAATGGATGGATGCAGGTGGGTGGCCGAGGAGGACCACATCGTCAACTTCCCCACCGTGCGCCTCAAGGGAGGCATGCCCATCAGGGTCACCGCCAAGGACTAGCCGCCTGTCAGCCGGATCCTTCAAGCAACTCAGCTCAGCAGTCAAGTTAAACGTGCACATATACATATGGGTTCAATGCTACCACAACTCCACACGCATGGTGTGGTATCTTCCATCGCAAGGTTGAAGGGTCCTTCAGGAAGCTAGCTAGGCAGGCAGGCAGGCAACATCTGATCTGAGCACATAGGTATGGCCGTATGGGCGAAGTATGTATGAGTGTTGTAGGGGAGGGTTAATTAGCCGAGAAGTAGCCGTGGGGTGGATGGAACCTGGTCGCTGTAGCAGGGTTAAGCAATATATAGCCGAGGAGGACTCCTGAATCTCCGATCGATGACGCTGTTATAGTAGTATAAGCAATATATATATAGCAACTTAAAGCAAAGTTCGGAATAGATCTCTGTACGTACTACTCCATCCATTCCAAATTACTTGTCTTAAAAATGGATAAAAATGAATGTTTTTGTGACAAGTAATTTCGAACGAGGAGAGAGTAGACCGTCTGGTCTGCTTCATCAACTGAAATGCTAGGTGGTGTGAGTGGATGCGATGGCAACGCAATGAACCGGGCTGATGGGACTTCGGCTGCTGCAAAGCTGGGGCTGCGCCTGCTTTGCTTTGGGGCGGCGAAGAGGGGGAGAGGGGAGTACATACGGCCTAGAGAGAGAAGTCCAGCATGGGGACGATGGATGGATGGATGGATGGATAGTGTGAGCTCAGCTTTGTTGCGATCCTGCAAATTTTCAGCTGCAGCTGCAAAGAGACGGTGTCACATCCGCTGCAAGAAAGGGCAAAGGAGCTGCATCCTTTTGGGGGATGCCAAGCATAAACACTGCTGTAGAAGTATTATAGTACTCTCTCGGTAAAGAAATACAAGAGCGTTTAGATCAGTATAAAGCAGTGATCTAAATGCTCTTATATTTCTTTATAGAGGGAATAGTAGACAGTAGCATCCCAAGATCAGAGGTTTCCTCCTTTCAGTACTTGTCCTCTCGTGTTTCCATTCTGTAAGCTAGGAGTAGGTTTCTATGAAGCGTGCTAGAGAGTAACCGAGGGTTTGTTTGCAACGCGAGCCATTTCTCGCGATCGCGAAGAAGCTCCACCCAGCGTCCTAAGAGGGGTCCTCCCTCTAGGCCAAGGTGTCCCGAGCGTGGTCGGATCACCAGCAGCTACGCCGATCTAACACCACTATCTTCTAGCTCGGCTGGCCTCTGCTGCAGCTTCCTGACCGGTGTGCCCGGCAGCGACTAGTGAGACGGGCTTTGGGGAGCACGAGAGGCAGAGCATGTGCATGGGCACAGGCTGTCTCTGTCGGGCACAATGATGATGATCTAGGAGTATATACTGTACTTAGATAAACTTGCCGACCTGAGGTAACTTGAAGCGTTATTTAGCAACACAAAAGCTGTAGCACGGACCACAACAAGAACAAGCAGAGGCCTGCTGAATGAACAAACACATGCCCCGCAAGTTGCATACTCGTCCGCGACGACCATTCCGCGACATAGATATGCAGTCACACACAAGACATGCCACATGGACGCCATAATGCTAACGCAAAGTGAAATGGCAGACTACAAAGGTTCAGAGACACTGATCTAAGACCATGAGCTGAAATAAGTGGGAATCCACATGCTATTACTAATCAGGAATCAATCAACTGGGATAACACAAACTGAACTAAAAAAACATTGTGGGAGCTCGCGGCGATTATTTTAGATAATAAGGCCAGTAAGGTTTCCATGGTTCTAGCTGGTACCATGGACTCCACATTCAGTATTTGACCAGAAACTTCATACTGAAACTCCAACTTCAATCATGACCGGAACTTGTCATGTTCTGTTTTCAAACAGTGGCGACTTAATGTAAATACTGATAATGAAATACAAGTCACCGAAGAGAACTTGTAATGCAGATAGCACCCAACAAACTTTGAGGCCCGAGGACTAATAGACAGACTGTGCAGATGTACTAAGAACATGTATAGCAGGAACAACAGATTTTCAATGTAGAAATGGCCATAAGATACACTCAACAAGGCAGTGGTACAAACTGCAAAGTAACAGTGGACCCGACTGCAACAAAGAGAGTCTCTTCGTAGAAACAAAATCCGGTTTTCAGGCATCATGATAGATAACTCCAAATGACAGATGTAGTATATTAGACATGCAACAGCAGCAAGGACCACAAATCAATTTGTTCTGGCAGATCTTATATTTACCATAAGATCTTGGACCAGTACAGCAAAAGCTGGTGGGAAGCTGAGGATGGTACTCACAAAGATGTGGATATATCAGCGGCAACCACTAGAGGGAGGCACTGCCCAGCAGGGTCATTAACTTCACACTGCAATTTTCATGTAGGGGCATTGACTTGTCATGGCACTCCATGCAAAATCTAAGCAAAAGAACACTATGGGACAACATTCTGACATAGATGTTTCTTACATCGTGTGCAGAACTTTTAACTCAGTTATGGTGTCAAAAGTATCCTATGTCGGGCAAACAGCAAATCAGTACACCTATCATTCCCATCTAGTTCGAACAATGCTTATGACCACAACCTTATGAAGGAAAGCTGTGACCATACGATCTACATTTATCGTGACATGGTGAGAGGGGAAAAAAATCCCACTGTACCGATCGGAAGAAACCCCATTCTAGGTTCCAGCTGACAACCATAACAGCTATTTCTCATTAGTGGTGCTAGTACCACAAGAGGAAAAGAAACAGAAGAGGAACTGCACAAAACTAATGATGCATTGATATTCAGTATTACGGACCCAACGTAGGTGAGTGCGGTATTATGGAAATAAATTACGCCATGTATTGACATTGATGGGACCAAAATATGAGTTTTGCTGTCACTCAGCAAAACTGACAACTGAACTATTTTCTACTGAAACTGCATGATTGTGACACATTTCTAGCTATTAGACAGAATGGGTGAACAGGTTTCAGTCAACACAACATGGTATCCAAAGTAAATAAATCCACTTTTACCGGACACTAGCCAAAAGATCTAGTGAGCCAGAAATACATGATCATCCACAAAGAAAGCTCAAATACCGCTCTTTGCAACAACTGATATTTTAATGTCAGCTCCATGAACGACCACCTCCATGCCCCCTGTATCTATCACGATGACCTGCGAAATGCAATAATAATCAGACCCAACTCAACAAGATGGCTTTCAACAATCTCTTGGGGTAAACAAAATAATGGGTGCAGAACAAAGAATCAGCGGATCTGTATATCTTGAAAAAAAAAAAGCAATCCAACAGAAAACTTACCCAAAGAAGGAGGTGGTGCACCACGGCCCATATTAGCTAATTCAGGGCTGACCTTTTGCCCAGCTTCAACTAAAATGCTAATAAGATCCTTGGCAAATCTGGCGTTAGCAGCCGTGAAAAAGCTGTAGGCTGTCCCTGTTGCTCCAGCTCTGCCAGTTCGACCAATGCGATGGACATAATCCTCCAGAGACCCCGGAAAGTCATAGTTAATGACATACTTGACATCCTTAACATCTGTTTTCAAGATATACAGAACACATGTTAATCTCCCTGTGTTACATAATTTATAACTTATTGTTTCCGAGGGAATTTCTGTATACCTAAGCCTCGAGCAGCAACGTCAGTAGCTGTCATAATAGGGCTTTTCCCCGACTTGAATTCAGAAAGAACCCAATCTCTTTCAGCTTGGCTCTTGTCACCATGGATAGACAGAGCAGGCCAACCATCCATTCGAAGCTGTCTGGTGATCTGATCGCATCCTTTCTTGGTGTCCATGAATATTAAAATTCGGCTGCCATCCATTATATCCTCCAGTAGATTGACCAACCTTTATGTCACAATGGTTCAGTATTAAGGCGCTGAATTAGCATTTTGAGTACATATTATGTAATTGAAAATGAAACAGAATCCTACTTGTTATACTTCTGACTCTCAGATAATATCTCAACATGCTGAGAAATAGCATGATTAGCTTTCAGTTCTTCAGAACCAATTATAACCTGCATCACGCCAAATTAAAATTTGCTGAAATGCAACACATAAAGTCGAATACTAGTAGTATGTAAGAAATCAGCTAGCACAACGAACTGTGGGTACAATGTTCACCTTGTATGGATCAAAAAGGAAAGTCCTTGCTAGCAGCTCAACTTCCTTTGGCCAGGTAGCACTCCAGTAAAGAGTTTGTCGATCTGGACGAATCTGAAGCAGGATATAATCTTTTGACATCATTTTTTAGACTTGCCAAGTTTCAGTGAAGCCAATACTAATATTGATGGGTAATGGATAATAACTATATGGTGGATAAATGATTTGACAACCTCATCATAATAACTCAATTTATAGCGAAAATGACAATGTGCAAGTCAAAAAGGCACACATCAAATGGAGAAGATCAGAACATTGATTTGCACGTACATTCAGGATTTTTACCCTTAAATGCAATAAATCGTGTGGTAGGAAAAGGAAGAGGCTTACCTGAGACACAATTTTCTTAATCTGAGGTTCAAAACCCATGTCTAGCATTCGATCTGCCTCGTCTAAAACAAGGTATGTGACCCTCCGCAAATTTGTGTGATGTGATTCGATCATATCAATTAGTCTTCCTGGCGTGGCTATAATAATTTCAACACCTAACACAAGAACAATCGGACTATCACCAGCCATGTAAAGAACCAATAAAAACCAACACAAATAGCAAGTAACTAAATCAGTTGAGTATAGACAAACAGAAAATCCTTTCAAACAGGCACATGCAGTCATGCACACATGAGTGAGTGAGGGGGGAGGGGGGAGAACCTTTTTGAAGATCACGAACTTGAGGACCTTTTGGGACACCACCATATATGCATGTGCTTTTTATCTTTGATGATGCACCAAATTTTGTTGTCTCCTGCTGTATCTGGACAGCAAGTTCACGTGTAGGGGCTAACACAAGAACAATCGGACCATCACCAGGAGCTTGAATAACAAAGAATGTATCAGCCTTTCAGATTATTATTATCCAGAATGATTCCAGGAAAGTAAATCAAGAAATATAAGCACCATATTCGCACCTAGAATAGGCTGAGCATTAACATGAACAATGGCAGGTAAAAGGTAAGCAAGTGTTTTTCCAGATCCTGTTTCAGCAATGCCAATAAGATCACGCCCCTTCAGTGCCATTGGCCAACCTTGTGACTGGATAGGGGTAGGTTCTGTAAAGCCAGCTTTTGTGATTTCTTGCAACACGTAGTCTGCAAAAAAGAAATGAAGGACCTTAGGCAAGCAAGTGGAAACAGAGGCTGTGAGATGATAAAGCTAAGGAAGCATAAACAAAATAATAATCATGTATCTACGAATAGCAACATTTTTCTTAAACAAACAGCACAGTTTTATACATAAAGAATATAAATTTAAGAACAAAGGTGGAGGAAAACAAAGGCAGACGCCAAAGGGTATCATAATATGGTGCTACAATTTCTCCAGATGCATGAGCTTTCTGATTATAATGTGATGCAATGTGAGGACCAGGAAACTCCTAGTTGGTAAAAAAGTACAGTAATAAATATACTTTTACCACTTTGTTTTCAGTTCATAGAACACATACTATGCATCAAGTATCTTCAAAGCATGAAAATAAAAATCTAAACTTCTGGCAATAAGTGCAGTGACTGGCACACGCAAGAGCAGGATAACCAGTGCTATTATGCCCTAATATCCTATTGTTGATTACTCACATATGTAGGAAAAATGGGAGAGCTAACTAGCTAAAATTTGTGATTCAATGAGAATCACTGCTTCACAGGGCAGGCCTTTTCCCAATCAGCTAACAGGACCAACTCAGCCCAGTGACATGAGGGTATTTGCTAGAATTACATATAGGTGCATCAATATTATGCTTTTTGAGTGTGGTATGATAGAAACAGAGCATCATGTGATACAAGGAGGCACATAGCCAAATGAAGACGTTCCTGTTATTCGATTTTAAGCAATTCAACACAGATGCTAACGAGAACTTATCCTACTCCCTGCTGATTCTATCAAGTTTGTGCGCCTGAAAGCCTGAAACACAACAGTTGCGCACGGGGAGAGAAGGAGCTACGAAGAACGCCATGGCCTAACCTGGGAAGCCGACGTCGCGGAAGTCGCGCACCGGCTTGGGCACGTCGTTGCCCTCGACGGTGATCTCCCGGCGGCGGCGGTAGGCCTCGACCTCCTCCGCCGTCATGCCGGCCACCGCGGGAACCTCCACGTAGAAGTTCTTCTCGAACCGCGGCAGCCCGTCCAGCTCCGCCGCGGCCGCCGCGGCGGCAGCATCCGGCTTTCCCGACGGCGCGAACGCCCTCGTCCCGCCACCGAACGCCCCCTCACTGCCAACACGGGCAGAATAGGTAACCAACCGGACCTAGAACCAGGATTACTAGGGCTGCTGTTAGGCTTAGGGTGTGGAGCGGAGCGGGTTACCTGCGGCGGTCGCGGTAGGAGCTGGGGTCCGCCGCACGGCCGTCGAAGCGGCTCATGGCGGCGGTCGCCGGCGGCAGCTAGGGTTTAGCGGCCGGCGGTGGGGGGCTCGGCTCCGGTGAGGGTGCGCCGAGGCGGCGGAGGGCTCGATTCGGCAGGCCGAGGAATTCTAGAAGAAGCAAGCAAAGCTGATGGCGGCGGCGGCGCGGCGGAGGCGATTCGAATTGGAAGTGAAGCGGAGGCGGCGAAGTTCAACAGGCGAGCTCCGCGTGCGGCATTCGGGTAGTGCTCGAGAGATTTCACCCTTGTAGGCGTATTTCCCACAAATACGCAACCCGACTAATGAAACGTCTTCCCATGTCTAACGGAAGCGTAAAATGGGAATGACTGCACTGCCAGGTGGGCCAGCTCGGGCCGCGAACAGAGGAAGAGGGGAAATTATCCACGGCGGGAGGCTGTTTATTATCCATTTGTATCCTCGACGGCGCGAGAGTTTTGCCTGCGACCGACGACGATGGCCACCGTCGCGGCGACCATGGCGGCGCCGACGCGCCACCGCCAGTTCCGCGTGCGCGCCGCCTGGGACATGAATCCGGGCGCCGCCACCGTCGCCGTGCCGAAGCCTTCAAAGGCCAAGCCCAAGCCCGCCCTGGGGCAGTCGCCGGCGACGGCGACCACCCCGGCGCGCGCGCCCCCTCCCACGCACGCCGACCACCCCGGCGCGCGCGCCCCCTCCCACGCACGCCGACCTCTTCGCGCGCAGCAGCGAGGGCCAAGGTATCTGTCTGTCCTCCCTCAGCTCTGCCATCCCGGCCATTTGCTCCACGTTCTAATCCCCTGAAGCTCTGGCAGCATATGCTGTCAGTGAACAACTGGAGGCAGTTGGTATCAGGCAATTACATACAGAACTGGTCATCGAGAACTTGACGAAAACTAGTTCCATATCGCTGTGCCTGCTCTAGTTTTAGGGCCGTGTAGTTACTACACTATTTAGCCAGAGAAGTTTGTAATTCTGTCAATTGATTGTTGGTTGCTTCGTATTAGCAAAGAAGAGCACATACATGGGGTTTGAGAAGTGGTGGTTGCCGCCCGCGCCAGAGGTGAAGAAGCCCCGTTCACTCTACAACGCGGCATCGCTGGCATACTTGGGGGACTGCATATATGAAGTGAGAATTGGTCATTTTGTTCTTTGGTCTTTATGCATTTTACAGTTACTGTTATGTAGTTACTATATTACATGTAGCTCAACATAGCTGTCCCTTTTGACCTTCATTTGCTCTGGGTTTACTATATGATGTTCCTGACGGTGCTGAGACAATGTGTACTAGTTTTCAACTCCAAGCTTGTTTGTTGTGAGAGAGATCTGACTCTTGCTCTTTGTGATACAGCTCTATGCTCGGAGACACTTCTTCTTTCCTCCACTGAGCATCAATGAATATAATAAGCGTGTGATGGATGTTGTGAAATGTGAATCACAGGTCTGATATGGCTCTTCTTTATCCTCTGATCAAACAGCTTACATAGACTAAATGCTTCAGTATGGTATGTTCGTTGATTGTGATGTAGAATTTATCTTTATCATCTATGTTTATCTATTGTATCATAGCCTTCATATTAACATTTTCCGCACATATCAATAGGTTTTGTCTCCTAATGTTGTTTCAATTACTGCTATTTTAATGGCTGTAGTTCAATTTCTGAAGAGCACTCGTTTTGTTTGCCTTTTCTCCCTTCTGTTTGCTGCATATAAGAGAGTGCTTTGAAGCATCACAATGTCAGGCATATTTTCACATCAATTGTCATTTGTTTCCTTCCTTCAGGATCTGCTGCTGAACAAACTCCTGGGAGAGGATTTTCTAACTGAAGAAGAAAGGTAAATCTAGTTAATCTACCTTTCTTCTTCCGTCTTCGATGTGTGTCTTGTACCTACTTGTTTCATAATATGATACATGCAGCTTTCTTGCATATTCTCGAAGAAAAAAAGTAAAGCTATGTTTCTAGCATTTTACTGCCTACTACTCCCTCCGCTCCGAATTACTTGTCTTGGATTTGTCTAGATACGGATGTATCTAGACTCATTTAGTGCTAGATACCTCCGTATCTAGACAAATCCAAGACAAGTAATTGGGAACGGAGGGAGTAGGAAACACTATGCACTAGCCTCTATACACATGATTGAACTTCCATGCGGTGTTAGTGCATCAGTATTTAGGACGTATGAATTCATCTTCCTAGAGTTGCCTTTGTACTGCGCCACGTTTCTTTTCTCTGCATTATATAGAATATGAACAAATGTAGTATTGTTTGATGCTTTCTCATCTGTCTAGTACCTGTGACCTGTGAGTTACTTAGATAATCATGTTCTGTAGGGACATACTTCGTTGGGGAAGGAACATCGTTAGCAGCAAAACTCGTACAAGAAAACGGGCAGGAATTGCAGTGTACAATCGAGCATCTTCACTTGAAACACTGGTTTGTTCTACAACTAACAGTCATGTTCACCAAATATCCTGACTTTTTTCCCTCACAACTAAAGAATTGTGGATCTCTCTCTTCTGTTATAAGTTGCAATGTTTCTTTACTAACTATAAGTTGCAGTGTGGTGTCCTCAATTGTAAAGACTAATCCTCACATTGTTTCTTAGAGGACTAAATTCTCACATTGTTGGTGATGTTACTGCTATTAGATCGGATATCTTTACCTCACGAATTTCAAGCGCTTGGAGCAAATGATGTTCCAGTTAGGATTCACAAGTGGTGCTTCATCACAGAATATTGCAGATGAGCTGCGCTCAAGCTTCCAGTAAACATCCTTTATTTGTGCTCCTCTGGTTCCGGTTTTTAATCTGCGTCTGTGCTTACTAATGAATGTTTCTGCCAGGAAAACAACATCAACTTCTGTACAATCTCAGCAACCTGCAAAGCGATGAGCAGTTTCAGTATGTAATGAACTGAACCGGAGTTTCTTTGATGACGCAGCGACTGATACAAGCACGCGTCACTTGCAGCACACGTGTTCCAAAAGTTAAGACTTAAAAGAAAAATGAGTGAATGTTGTTTGCGTGTAGGCAAGATCGAGTTAGTTGAGGAACATATATGATCGTGCATACTGGAGGCCGTGCAAGAGGCTGATGGTTATGATCAGAAGATTGTGGCACATCGAGGTCATGATGATTCTGATCTGAAGATTGTGGCACATTAAGGTCATGAGCACAATTGAGACCCAAGCTTTGTGTGGATTCCGTGTAAGATATGAGATGTATGGAATGAATTGATGTTGAATGCTGATATAATCTCAGTTTATTCTAGGGTATATTTCCCATTCTTTTTTTGACCGCAAATAGACTTTATTTCTCAAATAATAGACATGTCATTTACAAGCAGATGAGAAATAAAATCAGGGATCTAATCATCCCAAGAACTAGAGGATCTAGTAGTAGAAGAGTTTTTTGCTAATTCATCTGCCACCTAATTGGCCTCTTTATAGCAATGTTTGAAGGATATGGAAGCAAAGTCCATCATAAGCTGTTTACACTCTGTGATGATAGCTACCTTCGGGCCTAAATAATCATCAACTTGGTCCATAGAGTCCACTGCGAAGAAACAATCTGATTCAATTTCTATATTGTTGCATCCAATGTGAGTTGCCAAGCATATCCTGTTTCTAATGGCAGTTAGCTCAGCTAAGTCAACTTCATTGATGTTTGGAACAAACCAACTTGCTGCAGCAATGAAATCACCCCGGTTGTCCCGAGCCACTGCACCACAAGCACCTGATGGGTATATTTCCCATTCTTCTTAAGAGCATCTTCAACAGCCGCCCAACACGCCGCATGCTAAAAAACACTTTCCCGTGCGCCCTTCGCCTGGTTTTGTGCGGCCGGCAGCGCTGGCTCCAACAGTCGCGCTAAAATGCAGCGCATGCGCCGCTTCAGCAGCGCGCAAAAAATGCAGCACGCGTGACTCGCCGGGGCATTGCCATATATTGCATCGTCGGCCGCCGACTCAACGAGTGAGCTCGCCGGCACTTCGGTAGCCGCCGCGCCCGTCACACACCCTGCAAGCTTCTTCATCCTCGCCTTCGAGGTGCCGGAGCCGTCCGCCGCCTTGTTCTTCTTCGCGGATGTCTTACCCTTCTTCGGTCGCGCCGCATTGGGGAGCTTCGAGGGGGGGGCGGCACAGGGCGGCGCCGGCGCGATGCCACCCGCGTCGAGGTCAACCGCGATGGCATGAAGCAGCCGCGTGCGAGGCCGATGCTCGGAGGAGCTCCAGCGGAGGCGAGTCCAACGCTCCCCATGCTAGGGTTTGCGGCGGCGGTGGAGGGGTCGCGGCTGTAGGATGGGGTGAGCGCGGTGCCGGCGCGTGCGTCCATCGGGTCAAGTTCGCCGGCACCGGCGCGTGCGGGGCGAAGGTGGCGGGGAGGAGAGAGTGCGGCGCGAGCGCTCGTGTGTGTCACGCGTGGAAGCGGGCGCCTCAAATACACAGCACGAGTTGGCGATTCGGACCGCGCGCCCAACTCCGTATGCCGCGCGTGCGGTTATTGCATGCCCGCTGGAGCCACTCTATCGGTTGCGCGCGCGGAAGCAGGCGCCTCAAATACACAGCACGAGTTGGCGATTCGAACATCGCGCCCAACTCCGTATGCCGCGCGCGCGGTTATTGCGTGCCCGCTGGAGCCACTCTACCGGTTGCGCGCGCGCTAAAATAACGAAATTTATGGCGCGGCGCTTGTTTAGCGCGGCTGTTGGAGATGCTCTAATAAAGGGGAGTGTCGGTGTCAAAACCGGCGGATCTCGGGTAGGGGGTCCCGAACTGTGCGTCTAGGCCGGATGGTAACAGGAGACAAGGGACACGAAGTTTTACCCAGGTTCGGGCCCTCTCGATGGAGGTAAAACCCTACGTCCTGCTTGATTAATATTGATGATATGGGTAGTACAAGAGTTGATCTACCACGAGATCGAGGAGGCTAAACCCTAGAAGCTAGCCTATGGTATGATTGTTGATGTGTATGTTGTCCTACGGACTAAAACCCTCCGGTTTATATAGACACCGGGTAGGGT